TGTTATACAGTTTTATCTTCCCTTATTTTTATTCTTTCTTGACAAATCCCCTGTTTGCGAACATTTCTCTTAACAATAAAAATAATAAAAATAATAATAATAATAATAATATGAAAATAATTCAGGAACGATGTTATTTTATTTAATTCATTGAAAATGGATTTTTCGTGATTGCATTCCTAGTCTTCCATTGTTCGATACTGTGTCTGGAAAATTGTGATTTAATTGTGGTCACCACGATTTCTCGACCTTTTCGCTGAGATTAAATTGTAGTATCTGTTCATATCATCATACTCTCATTCTCTCTACACTTCTATCTTCCGTTCTTTCTTTCACTCTCTCACAGAAACAATTTCTTTTTACACGCGATCAAAACGCGGAATAGTCCATTATTTACGAGATATTATCAGGACATAACGGTCGTGCTAAATAACGAAGAGAAGGGAAAGCAAGCACAATTATAATAGGCTGGTTGACATTATTTCATGTAATAAAACATAAAATGGAAATACTGATTCAATTTAAACGAGAAACCCGAATTTCATTGTACAAATTTTAGGGCCCTTTTCTCATCAATCGGTATTTTGGCCACACAGTATCGAATCTGTAGATACCTGCCCCTGGCTCCCTACTCTGTCACGACATGACAAGCGCGCCTATTGGCTGGCCCCAGCACCCGGAAATTAATTAAAAATTTCCCGCCTTTCAATTATTCTGACATTCAAGCAAGGCGTGCAGCTATCCAATTAAGAGTGTAATTAATTAATTAATCGACTGATTAATTGATTTAAGCAAACACTCGGGCCATTTAGGAAGCAAATTGATAATCTGATTTCACAATTTTCAAGGTAGATGTTTGAAAAGAGTGGGTCTGGCTAGGTGTACCAAATAGTAGAAAATAATAACATGGACCCTAAACGATAATTATATATCAACAATGGATATTTTCTGTCGTTAATTTTTCAGAGGAACATTTTTCAAATCATTGGAAATTCGATTTAAATAACGGTTTGCCTCATATCCGAATGTGTAGCCTTCCTTTCGTAAGTCGAAATAGTAGTTGTCATTAATTTCCACAAGGAAAATCTTTGCGCGATCCAACCTCCCTGCAGATTAATCTTGTGTGAGATTTTCGATCTAAAAGGATTAAATGAAACTATGAATTTTAAAAGGTTTTCCATATTTAGGGCTGGTTTACAGGATTTGTGGATGTGTGGGTTGTGTAATAGATTGTCTCACGGGAGAAATCGGAAAGGCGTGTTCGAATTCCAGTCAAGTTCTTTACATTAACCTACGAGCCAAATCCTTTAGGAAATGTATGAAACTATTTTTTTATCCCCTAGCTATGGGTTAAATAGTAGGACGTGTATCTGAAAAAATCATTCTATCTAAAAAATAAAATTCAAAATGTAATATTTACTCACAAAAAAATTGTTATTCTTACAGTCCAAAAATAAGTTTCAGCGTTAAATAATCCACAAAGGGTTGATAGGCCGTAAAAAACAAATCGATCAAGCAGTTAAGTGTGGTATTTATTCAATGTCTAGAAAATATTGGATAAGAGAGGTATTCGTGTCCCTGAATCTTACGTTGTCACTGTTTAACTGCGTATGTGGCTGTAGGTTTGTCGTCGTGACTGGAATTTGGAAGTGGCTCGTGTCGTTTGCGGCCTCAGATTTGTTTACATTGTTTTCTTGATAACAATATACTAAAATAATCTGTTTCTACCTCTTGCGGAAAGTCACTTGATATTTTCTTACTGGCAGAACGATTTATTCCAGTGGTGGTAAACAACGCAACGCATATAGTATGAACTGTCTAATTTTATTACTTTTAATAAAGAAATTCTACTATCTACTTTTCAGTAAAAGAGAGGGAAAGGTAGTTAGTCAAAGTGAGATCTCCAGATATTTATTAGCACATTTCTAGCGGTTTCAGACACGCGTGGTCCCTGATAGGAAAGCATTCTTACTGAAAATATTGACGGAGAAATTTCTATTACAAACAAATATCTTACCTATTTCCTACCTGGTATTTTTTATGTCCAGCAGTTCACGGTCGAATAAAATGGTACACAAGCACTAATACTACAAGCGGAAATAAAGCAATTGAAACGAAAACGAAAGATATCCTAGTCAAAGATGAATAATCCTTGAAAATACTTCATCTAATAAAAATTCCGTTTGATATTACTGTTATGAATAATCAAGAGTGGTCTCCCCTTGCTTTGTTACTCTCCTTTTTGCGAGTGCTATTTCTGTTTACTGGGACTATAAAAGGACACTATATGCTAACCTTGTATTCTCAGTTGAATAAAGCTTTTTTGAAAGTCTACTCCTGCGTACTTTTGTCACTACAATTGCTACTAGTAATGCTACTAGTGTAAATAAATAAATTGAAATGAAGATGAAAGAAATCCATGTGAAAAATGAAGGATGCTTGACAATGATTCATCTAATAAAAAATCCGGATAATAATAGTACTACTAATACAACTGATGTGTCGTAAAACAAACCAAATCAAAAGAAACCTAAAAGTCTTATCAGCATTATATAATCCATTCAGGTCTATAAGCCGTAAACAAAATAAACCAAACCAAACCAAACGTAAAAATCTTATCGGCATTAAATAACTTATTGAGGTTGATATGCCTTTAAACAAAACAAACCAAGCCTAAAAATCTTGTCGGCATTAAATTGCCCATTGAGATTGATATGCCGTAAAACAAAACAAACCGAGCCTAAAAATTTTGTCGGCATAAAATAACCCATATAGTTTGATATGCCTTTAAACAAAACAAGCCAAGACTAAAAATCTTGCTGGCATTAAATAACCCATAGAGTTTGATATACCTTAAAACAAATTACGCCAAACCAATCCTAAAAATCTTGTCGGCATTGAGGTTGATATGCTGTAAAACAAGACAAGACCAAATGATGATGAAAGAAATCCTGGTCAAAAATGAATATTGCTTGACAATGCTTCATCTAATAAAATTTTCGGATAATATTACTGCTATTAATGCTACTAGCTTCAATAAAGTAATTGAAATGAAGACTAAAGAAACAAGAGTTAAAAATGAATAAATAATTTTTTATGCTAAGTGAAAACCTGAATATAATACATAAGTATCAATATTTAATAATAGTTGTCATGGTTACATCTTAAATTTTTAATTTCTTTGTAGATAAACTATTCACGATTTGCTAATGCAACAATTATCTCTCATGGACAGGGATTCGGACACAGGAATTCCTGCGGGGGAAACCCTCAAGGGATATCTTCACAAGCCCCTGAATTAGCTTTTAGTAAATAATTTTAGTTAGTACTTTTCTTTTTATGTGCCGTGTCCCTTCAGGACGTAAGCGATCATTGCCCGCCACTTCTCCTATCCCTTGTATCTCTCAATATGTTTTGGCCCTTTGCGACTTCCTCCCAGGCCATGTTCTGTCATCCATTTTCTTAAGCCCTCTAGGAATGACATACGTTGATTTCCCTTGTCTTTTCTTCCCTCTATTCGACCTGTCATTATCAGATTCTCCAAGCCCTCCTTTCTCATTAAGTGTCCCAGAAATTTCAGCTAACTTTTCCCGAAGTTAAACATAAGCTTCCTTCTTGTTTGCATCCTCTCCAAAACCTCATCGTTGCTCACACGCTCGGTCCATGATATCCTTAGCATCCTTCTGTATAACCATAGCTCCGTTGTCTCGAGTCTCTTCTTCATCTTTGAGGAGACCGTCCAAAATTCGCTGACATTAAAGAGGACAGATGTCACGTAGCAGTTCAGTACTTTTTTGTTTGTTAGCAAAGAAATCCTCTTGTCTCGTAATACACTGCCTCGCTTTAAGTATGCGCATTTGGCCATCTCAATACGTCTTCCGATTTCAGCGTCGTACTTACGATCCTCTTTGGCTTATGACCACATTTTGTATCTCCCAATTCCCAAGGTAGAATTCTTAAAAAAATAATTAAACAGTAATGGTAAAGATGAAATTAGCCGTTTCGAAATGAGCATGACTATTTTGCGCTGACTCACTGTGCCTTCTCAATCATCATCATCATCTAAATTTTCATTCTTGGTACCTCAACCGCAAGAATTTAAGCGTACTACTAGATTGGAAAGTAGGTCTCATCATTTTAATGTTGATGTAACCGTGAGTTATCTTCTAGAAGTTTATTTTCTCACACTACTCGCCTGTGGAACTCTCTTCCTGTTTCTTGCTTCATGTAACTTGTCAGTTCAAAACGCAGGCGATCATGGCTCTCCACAATTTTGTCTTTTTGCTATCTCTCCCAAAATTTATTTTGCCATCCAAACTCACTAAGTTAAACCTTATTTCCTCTGTCCCTCTTGCCTTCAATCTGTCCTGTGAGTATCAGATTTTCTAAGCTCCTTTTCTTTATTATTTGCCTTAGAAATTTAAACTGTCTGTATTGATGTTATGTATAAATTTCTTTTCTGTTCCATCTTTTTCTAAAACTTCGTCATTGCTCACATGTTCGGTCCATGTTATCCTCAGCATCCTTCTGTAGAACCACAGTCTCTTCTTCATTTTTGAGGATATTGTCTAACATTCACTTCAATATAGGAGGACTGATAAAATATATATTTTCACTCCAAAGTAAGGCAACAAAGCCACTAAGGTATAAGGATTTAAAGAACATGAGAAAAAGAAAAATATTATTGAGGAGAGAGAGAGAGAGAGAGAGAGAGAGAGAGAGAGAGTGAGAACAATAAAAGATCAAGAATTAAGAAGACAAAAAATAACGATTGACATTGCATTTAAATTTTTGAAGATCAATGTTGATTGGAAAACAAAAAAATAGGTAAAAGTAATTATAATGGTAAAAGTTACTCAGAGGAGGAAAAAGCAGGAAGTTGTGGAGAACAATGATCATCATGGGAAATGAAGATCGAACGTCACTTTCTTGAATTCTATTCGCCGTTATTTAAATATCCACTGACGCGGATGTATATTTACATACACACCTTGCATCACTACTCGTACAAACACTTGCAGAGGAGGGAGGGTCATCGGAGCATTATCTTTTTATCCCTTGACTGTATTTTGAAATTCCGTCTTTTTGTTTGTTTGCTATTATGCCCAACGAACTCCATTAATTACGCGACCTCTTTCGTTATATTCTAAAGAAATGGCCAAATGTCGGGGCTCTACTAATTAACACATAGAACACCAATTAATCACCCCCCTCTATTAATCTTTTCTTTCTTCAGCATAGGAACAACGAAGTGCTGAATTGTTTGTAAATTCTAGTAAGAGGCATAGTGGGTGAAACGTGTGGTGGAACTGAACCAGAATAGCTCATGCGGTAGGGATGTATTTTGTAGTCAGCTCAAAGATCGATGCTTCAAATATTTAAGGATGGCGTAAGTAAGGGAGATAACCCTCGAAGAGAGGCTGGCGAGGCGTAAGATCTCTGAATTTTGACGAAATTGCAGACAATCATCGTATATATCTGCGAACAAGTGTAGGAAAAATTATATATTTTTTTATTTTTTCACTATTACTCTTCCCAATACAATGCCCAAATTCCACTCAATGTCTTCTTCTATGTGCCATGTTCTTTCAGGATCACGGCTCTCTACAATTTCCTATCCTTTGTAGCTCTTAATAAGTTTTGACTCCCAAATCAGGCAGCTAGGTGCAACCGTTTTCATCTATGTATTTTTTGTTGTCCACTCTCCTTAATAATGTTTTTTTTTTCTCAGATTCTTTCACATCCGGTAACACTCTTGAGTCTTAGTGGATTTATTGCCTTGTTTGGGGTGAAATGTGTTATGGGACCTTACCTATAATAACATAATAGACTATTCCATACGTAATAAATACTGTGCCTCAAGAGGAAGCAGGGAGTTCAGTCTGAAATCGGGCGACCGGCTGATCGGCTGATCGGTTGAACTCTCTGCCTTCGGGCGGGGAGGAACCCGATCGAGGCTACGCCGAAGGGCAGAGTCTCTTTTGGGGAGGTAAACCGACCCTGAACCCGTTTATACTGGTTCAAAGGGCATATTTTTGGCCGAGCCCACGGGCTCAGAGATCCCACGTTAAACCGGCCTTGTGCCACATGATGCGCTCGTGGGGGGGGGACTAAATACTGTTCAGTCTGAAGTCTGGAGTGAAGTCCGTCAGGAGTCTCTCAGTCAGTCAGAGCGAACGAGTCAGTCGAGTCAGAGGCAGTCCGAAAGAGAGTCGCGTTCAGACAATTACTACAAGACATTGGAATAGTGATACTTGTCGAGACTACATTGTTCTCCCTACTAAACCTGATTGTTTATACTAACACTTCTACTTCTCTGTATATATTCCTGTTTGTAATATATCTGTGTTATTCCATACCTGTGTTCGAGTTTTTTTTTTATTGGTTCTAGCTTGGACTATCACCGTGGTACAAGGAACCGGACCATACCAAAATGAAAAAAAATACTTATTTTTACATGATCGCATTATACTTGTAGTACCTTATGTCCCTGTGCAACCAGTGAATTAATTACTGGTCACTTTTTTTTTTAAGTAAAGCTTTTTTTCATGAGTAAGGACACAATATACTTTGATCTTGAAAGCAAGACGATAATGCCACTAAGACGTAAGGTGCTACTGGAAGTGTAAAAGAATGAGAAGGCATTAGAATGTAACAGAGACCCAATCCTAAGCAGAAAGCAAATGATAAACCGCTACACCTGTTCAAAAGATTAGAGAAGAGTGTGAACCGGACAATAGGCGCACCTATCTACTCCTGTTGGTGGAGAAGAGAAAAAAAAAACAACTGGCACAATAAAATAAATAATTAGTGAATAAAATCTTTCAAGCGCATACAATAGGAGTACAGAGCTAAAGCAGACTTTAGAAGGAACCGGAAACCCAATCCTAAACAGAAAACAAGGCTACATCTCTACTCCTGTACAAAAACCACGGAGAAGTGTAAACCGGGCGATAGGCGAACCTATCTACTCTGGTATGGATGCATTTTGCTGTCATATCAAAAATCTGTGTTTGAAAACTTTAAGGATGGCATATGCAAGGGGGATAACCCTCGAAGTGAGGCTGGCGAGGATTAAGATCTCTGAATTTTGACGAAATTGCAGACAATCGTATATCTGCGAACGGGAGTAGAAAAAAGTATATTTTTATTTTTTCACTATTATTCTCCCCTATACAAGGCTTCAAATCCACTCAAGGTCTTCTGCTTCTATGTTCCGTGTTCTTTCAGGACGTTGGCAATCATGGCTCTCTACAATTTCTTATCTTTTGTAGCTCTTAATAAGTTTTGACTTTTTGCCAACTCTTCCAAATCAGTCAGGTAGGTTGCACGTTACTTTCTTCTGACCATATTACCTTCAATCTCTCTTGTGAGTATCAAATATTCCAAGCCCTCTTTTCTCATTATACCCCCCCAGAAACTTCAAGTGTCTCCTCCTGATGCGAATATATGTACCATTTTTATTGCTACTCTCTCTAGAACTGCGTTATTTCACACATCTTCGATCCATGGTATTCTCAGCATCTTTCTGTTGCTAGAAATCTCTTCGTCTCCTGTAAGGGTATTGTCCAGGATTCACTGCCATATTGGAGGACTGATATTACAAAACAGTTTAGTTCACTTCTCTTTGTTTCTAACGATATTTTTTCTTTTTCATAATACTTTGCTTAACTTTTGGAAGGCATCTTTCGCTATCGCAATGATTTTTTTCGTTCAGTTTATATTTTGACATTCACGATTGACAATAGCAGCATAAGTAACACTATCTTCGTCATCTGTTTTATTAAATTTAAGCATTGCCAACGTGTATGAATTAGGAAATTTCTTTCATTGAAAATTTTAGACCAAATTAACAGTTTCATCAAACGTAATATTTCCTTTTTCTTTCAGGTAAAATGTAATTTCAATATCTTTCGTGTTCGTTTTTATCTCATCAGCCCTGGCAATATTTTTTTGAAAAATTCTTTGTACCTTCCTGAATACGACAAAAACCTAACACTTTCTCCAGGGTTATATGAAAATTAGCCAATAGAGTTTGCGACTGCATAAGGCGTTAAAAATCTGGGGTACTAGTTTCATTTGGTTTGCGCAATATTGCTTCACACATCCTTGTGGAGCTTCAATATTTGGAGAATTTGTTGTTGTTGCTGTTGTTGTTTTTTGTTGTTGTTATAGTTGTTGCAGCAACTGTTGCCGTTGTTGTTGTTAGAGCAAATGTTTTATTACGATTTCTAAGATGACTGGTAGTGGAAGAGAATGTATTTAGGGAGAAGAAAGGGCAATAAAAGAAGACATTTCAGGGCTACAAAAGATGGCGATTGATGTCGCATTTATATTTTTAAAGATTGTTGATAGCAGGAATGCAGGAAACAGCAGGGGAGAAGCGCGAGAAAATAAACTATAAGAATAAAACTTACGGTTACATCTAGTTCTTTCAACATTAAATGGATTAGTATAGTTTCCAAAGTTGTACGTTTAAATTCACTCGGGTCAGGTATCAAGGAGGAAGGATCATTAAAACATTTGCTAAGAAAATATTTTTAACCTGTATTTATTTTAATATTTAATTTAAAATTCTTTTCATAAAAAACATAATTTTTGATTAATCAAATTGTATCATGAGACCTTAACTGATTCATTAATTCTTCTAGATGATTTAACCATTTTGGCGTTGTTTTTTTTGTATTTGGTGTTTCTTTGTATAAAGTGTTTTTTGTATAAGGTTCTTTTTTTCGATAAGGTGCTTTTTTGCATTATTATTTGTCCAAGGTGTTTTGGTATAAGTTATTTTTAATGAGGTTATTTTTTTTTGGATACGGTTTTTCTTTTATATAAAGGTGTTTTTTATATATATATATATATATATATATATATATATATATATATATATTTATATAATATTTTTTTGTATTTTTTGTATAAGATGCTTTCTATATTCTTTGTATAAATTGTTTTTTGCATTTTTGTTTTTTATAAGGTGTTTTTGTATAAGGTTCTTTTGTATATTTTTATATAAGGTATTTTTATAGGGTGTTTTTTATATAATCTTTCATGAGGTGTTATTTTCTATAAGGTTTTTTATAAACTGTTTTTGCTTAACGCGTTTTTGTGTAACGTGTTTTGTAGAATTTCTTTTTATAAGGCATTTTTTAATAAAGTTTTTTTTGTATAAGCTATTTTTATATGAGGTATTTAGTATAATTTCTTTTGTATAAATTGTTTTTTATAGAAAATTTTCTTTGTATAAGTTTTTTATTTTTTACACGGTGTTTTTTGTATAAAGTGTTTTTCCTATAAGATTTTGTATAAGTTTTTTATATAAGGTGTGTTTTTGTATAAGGTTTTGTATAAGTTTTTTTCTATAAGGTGTATTTTTGTATAAGGTGCGTTCTTTATAAGATGTTTTTTGTATAAGTTTTTTTTTGCATATTTTTTATAAGGTGTGTTTTTTGTATAAGGTGTGTTATGCATAATACGTTTTTTGTATAAGGTCTACTGTGATTACAGAAGTTTTTTGTTTAAGGTATTTTTATTAGGTATTTTTATATAATCTTTTTCATAAGGTGTTTGTATAACATGTTTTGTGGTATAAACTGTTTTTTGTATAAACTGTTTTTTTTTTTTGTATAAGATGTTTTATGTATAACTTGTTTCGCATAATTATTGTATAAGGCATTTTTTGTATAAGGATTTTTTTTATTTATTATAAAATGTGTTCTTTGTATAATGCGTTTTTTATAAGATTTACTTCATTTAGAGAATATTTTCTTTTTTAAATTTTTCAATGTTTTCCTCATTTTTTGTACTCCTTTTATTTCTCTTATTTTTCATTTTTTCTTATCTTTTTCTTCGCACAGCTCCTTCCCAAGGACCGCTGCTTTATGGAACAGACTCCAACGTGAATGCCTCTCCAATCGCTACAGCCTAATCCTCAGCCCTTAGTCTCGGCCCATCAACTTCATTAACACTATTACTAGACGGACAAAGAAGCCACGGTGTGGTGAAAGTACATATATCCAGCTGCAAATAAATTCCT